GACGGGCTAAAAGCTGCGTTAAAATGTAGACCTCGTGGTAAAACCAGTCTACTGATAAAAAGAATTGCCATTCATTGTAACTGCAACAAATGAGCATCTTATGAAAACCAGAAAGAAACGAGAAAACAATACTCGAGTACATATTCAAAAATTGATACACCCAACCGTGTACAAAAGCACATCCATAAATTCAGCTTTCCCAGAAATGTTCGGTCCACAAGAAAATCCCGTCCTTCCAAACTGAAATGAAAAAGGTGATGAAAAGCCCCATAGCTGCAGAAAATCGACAAGGTATGTATTCGAGATATTTCAAACAGTTTCTTTATTTAGTCCCTAGTCTATTCCTGTGTGTCCATTGTACTTTCGTTACATTTATTATAATCAAGCCGAAAAACTTCACTTCTGTTACATAATAAACTATATATCTATCTCTATTTCATGAAGAGAGACAAAAGAAACTGGATGAGCATAGAGCATTTTATAGAAGTCTGAATACTGCCACTTGGCAGTCTTGTTGTCTCTTCTTTACAGCTCCATCAGCAAAGTGTACCGACAGGTTCATGGAAAGACACAGTATTAATGGCAGCGCCTATACTATGAATTAGTTGTAGCACCACTGTAGACACGAGTATTGTACCTTGTTTGTTTTCTATTGTTTGTAAGTAAGAACGTTAATGTAAATTCCATCGTGTAAGTCAGTTAGTATATAAGTAGTTCGTTTCGTAATATCCATTGTCACAGTCGAAGTCGTAGTCGCCACAAATCTTGTAAGTAGTCGTTATATTTCCTCCTTTTTCCGTCTTGTAAATTTATGTACTTATATTAATACCGTTTGTAATTGTTTGTTAAAGTAAACGAGACGTTATGGACTCCATTTTGAGTTAGTGGAAGGACTGTGGCCACAACCACAGAATCTTAAACACCGTCTTACACAACCCGGGACATTCTCAAACTTGTCATTTTGGCAAAAAATGGGATTGTTAGTTAATTTTTGCAAGACATTTGCACCAGAAATGGCAAAATTTTAGTTTATTGTCCAACTTTTGCCATTCAAATCAAACGAGTTGTAGTTTTTGACAAGATTTAATGGTTTCATGCTAAAAACAGCATTATTTCATAGTGGTAATATTTTTAAAAAAATATTAAATTTTTCAAAGAATTGTAAGATTTGTAAAATAGGTGCATAATTCTATAAGTTTTTCTCAGTTTGTGTGACTTCACATGGTAAAATTTTGGGATTTTATTTAATTTTTGCAAACAGCCTGAATTAATACCGCAGGCAGACAAAATTTATCTTGCAGCAAAATTTGTTGGGTTTCGCTATTTTCTACCGGTGTCATACTGCGGCAAACGATCCCGATTCCTGTCTAAATGACAGGGATCTAGTGTAGCTAGTGGCACAGAAATTTCTGTGCCATTTTACAAGACACCTGGTATAGATAGTTACACAGAAATTTCTTTGCCGTTTTACAAAAGACCTATAGTATAGCTAGTGGCACAGAAATTTCTGTGCCATTTTACAAGAGACCTATAGTATAGCTAGTGGCACAGAAATTTCTGTGCCATTTTACTAGAGACCTATAGTATAGCTAGTGGCACAGAAATTTCTGTGCCATTTTACAAGAGACCT